TGGGGGCAACAGGGAGCCAATGACAGTTAAAACCTTGCGGAACTATGAAAGTCTGATCCAGCCAATCAAGATTCAAGTTTAGCGTTTAAAATGTACTTACTAATACAGGAACATGGACTTACATTTTAGAAACATTTTCAAAAGAGGAGGAAAACTCTCTGCCTAATTCTCCTTAGATTTTAAAATCCGACCATCCAGAACCCCTTACATTTATTGAGCACTGAAGTTAGTGAAAACTTTTTGGACTTCTCAAAAGAATCTTTACAGGTGAAGCTGAAGCCACACTGACCTAGAGGTTTCAGGGATACTGATGGTTTTGAATAGTTCCTGCTGCCCTGTGCCTGGTCACTCTGACAGGATTTTCAATGAACCGACCTCCCCCAGGAAAGTGGGGCAGAAACTCCTGGTGTCTTTCTTGAAATGAAACCCAACTGGTAGGACCCCAACAATACAATATAACAAATGGGGAGCAAGTGCAAGAATGAAAGGCTTTCCTCACTGATCAAGGGGCCAACTCCATCTGGTGGGTTGCTTGGGAAACACATGTAGTTCTCCTGGATCTAAGTTAAGAGGAACAGTAGCAGGAAGGAGCAGCCTCTCCCAGCTGCCTTTTTTTTTTTTTTTTTTTTTTAAAGTTTCATGCAACAACTGAGGCTCCTGATTTTTCAGGTCTTTGGAGTTAGAAGGATCACTGGAAATTTTCTGGAACTGAATATACACTGAATATTTGAGGCTAGTAAAAATGCTAAGCCAGTTTATCTTTGTCAGTTTTAATTTTTTAAAAAATTTTTTTACAGTTCAGCCTGTATAAATTAACATTTCCTTAAAGATTCATGCCTGCTTAGGTCTTAAGATGATGATACCATATTCCACCTCAGGTAGAGTAGCTTCCACTCAATTATAATGTGCCTCACTGTACGAAGGCATCTCATTTGCCTCTGAAAAGTTTCATGACTGAAAAAAAAAAAATTGCCATCAAGACAGTTCTCATGGCAACCCCATGTCTTGCAGAGAACAGTGGTTCATAGGGTTTGTTTGTTTGTTTGTTTTTGGCTGTAATCTTTACTGGAGCAGATTTTCAGGCCTTTCTTCCATGGTGTCACCAGATGAGTTCAAGCCACCAACCTTTAGATTAATGTTGTTGTTGTTAGGTGCCGGCCGCTGACTCGGTTCTGA